GTATCTCGTTATATCTTTTATATATAGAAAACTTATGACTAAGCGGTTGTAATGAGAATATTCATTGTGAATTTCATTGAGGAAACATGTGCTGGAATTATTATGTCGCGACGGTTTATATGCGGTATAATTTGTTCGGTTTCTATACGAGTGGAGCGTGGTCATATCGGATTAGCGGTAAAGTTATTAGTTCGTAATAGTCGGGAGGCAAAAGAATGATATAATTGTAAGTATGGATTGTTTTCTTGTAGCCATTTACAGGCATCGAGAAGGATGGTACCAAAGTTTTTTGGGGAAGACAGGTCGACGTTTTTGGAGAAAGGCACCTAGCATACCGGAATACAGTGGTAACATTCGTAGATTTTTTGAATATCCAAATTGACCTTTAATTAATCGGTATTCTGAGTAAGCGGCTATATTTGATGATCTTCTGCCAAGGCTCGAGGCGACAAATATTTTCGTTTGCCATCAGATACGTTTTCGATACAAAGAGGAATTTATGCTAAGCTAGGACACGGGGAAGGGAATAGTTTACATGACGGACATGCAGCTACTTTTGTACTAGCCGTAAATGTGTAATTAGTGGGGGATATGAGGATATACGTGTTCAAATGGGAAGGCGAAATTGTTTGGCGAGTTATCAGCTTAATCTGATTAGGGTATAGCAAACGGGAACAGTATGAGCACGGAACGCAAGGAAATTGTGTATAATCAATTTCATGGAGTCTGCTAATAAAGTATCAGAAGGCCGCCATAATGTATAATCGATTTGTGCAGGAGTAAGTTCGTTAAGTGAAGGGAGGATTGCAATATATTGATTTGAAGATGTTTCAGGAAAAATATGAGAAATAGGCTGGGGTAAGTGAACAATCGATTTATACGGTGTTATTGAATCGAAGAATAGTGATCAATGATTCGAGACATTTTCACGAAATTATTAAAACGTCCCTCTTAAGAGTGGAGAGGAAAGGGCGTAATTTTGCCCTGTTTTTATATGTTCTAAAGGAGCGGAATAACCAAGTGAGTTTCATACAACATACTATTACTAACTATCTGAATCACTATAATTGAAGCCTTTTTAACCGGCTGATAATAAAGCTAATTATTTATGACCGATTAGTCATCTTCCCGCCTTTAATTTGTTAGAACATTTGTTTAGTATTTGACTGTCGTAAATAGGCATCACATCATCATTATGACTGAATCGTATTCAAAATAAAAGATTTAATCATTTACAAACGATTGCTTATTTCTATGTTATTTTGTTAAAGTATTAACAGTTAGTCTCTTGGAATTTCTATTGTTGCGTAATTGATAATAATTGATAATAATGAATAAGAGATTAGTTACCTAACAGTTATTGATGTATTGGTTATTATTAGGCTGCTTTAAGGTCGACAAATTATGATGTATGAGAAACTTATGTAAGGGCAAATCGGGAGATCTGCATATTACCTATAAGTAAATGCGTCGATCGTGAATAGCACCACATGATTATCTAGATTAACCGCATAACGTGCCCCCCACACCCCCCAGTTTATTACGTAAGTATACGAATAGTACACAACAATAGTACACTTCTGGCTACTGCAATTACTGTAGTAAGCTACCCCTCAACGCTGATGTGGATTATACATTACATAATGCAGTAATGATTTGTCGATCATTTTAATAATGTCGATAAGAGTTGACAATCCTAAGCACCCTTCACGTGAGTGCTTATTCACGGTAGTATACGGCACATAATAAAATAAAATTTGATATAAGCTATTTTTTAAACTTAAAATTTTACTTTATTCACTGGCATGCGCACTCTAGAGGAGTCATTACAGCTTTTGTAACAATTACACGACGTTTTATGGTGTAACTGATTGGTTGTATCGACAAGTAGAATTGAATCAAGAATTCAAACGATAATTAACGTGAATTGTGCTTTGTTAAAAATAGACTGAAATATTAGACCGACATACATTCATTGCATTTGGCGTGAACAACCGCTTTAGATCTGCCTTTATCTCGATTCGCACGTCCTTTGGTACCACAGGCATAGACGTTGCTAAATTCTTCGTGGGAAAGTCTACATAGTTCGATGAAGTGAATGAGTGACATTATATGATCAGCCAGCATGCAAGTAGTAATTAACAATCTTCAATGTCTTGTACTATCTCCAATCACCATTGGGGCCTCAGGACCAAATCTTCGTATTTCTTCCCACTCGGGAGCTTTTCTGTATAACAGGAATACTCGTCAATTAACGTTCGACTGGACAAGTAACAGAATCACCGTTTCTAAATACATTACTTTCTGGTAGTTTTGTTGAGTATTCCGTTACCAAACATTGATTTGAGTATATTGCCTTTTCTTCACTTAGTGCCCGTGATATTTCGTCACTTCCTCGTCTTCATTTATGTCATTCTTATCACTGGTTTCGCAATTTGCGCGTCCTCATTACTATCGCTCATGAAATCTTCGGTCAAATTGAAACGGCAATCGCCATGGAACTGAGATTGTAACTGAAGCCTCTTACGACCAGATGCACCTTCAAATACAGAATTTATGTCTATTCCCAAAAAAGATAAAATTGTTCATATCGTCTCGTGGACACAAAAAATCTTAGCGCAAAAAGAAAACATAGCATACCTATTTTTCCAAACAAACCATTCTCCCCACTGTTATGGTCGGAATAGTTACTGTCGTCATCCGATACAAACAGGGACATTTATATCCACTCTATTCTTCGTCTGTGTATTTTACGTAGTTTTTCAGCTATCGAACAGTAAAAACAAAAAAGTCAGATTGCACGGCCACATAATCAGCTAACAGATTCTAAAACCGTTCACCTTAAACGTCTGGTTATCGCTTAATGCTTCGCTTATCATTCTCTTCTTTTTTTCTCTCTTCATTGACACGTTTTTCAATCGCTTCAAGTCTTTGTCGATTGGTCCGTCCTGCGACACGTACAATTGTCAATATCCAAATGTGTGTCGAGAAATTCAATATGATTAACTAAACGGGCAAGAGACCATTCCGTTACCTGGTTAGCCATTATATGCTGATCTTTTTTCTTAACCTCTTTACCAAAGGTCAATTGTTTTAATCTGTCTACTACTAACGATGATTGTAATAACCCTAAGTTTGCCATGTTGTCATTATAGTCCATAACTTTCCATCTGTTATCGTTGGAAGGCGAAGAGGCAATGAAGCCGCAATAGCAGCAGTCGCAATAGAGTAGAGTAGCAGTCGCAATAGGAGTAGCAGTAGCAGCAGTAGCAGCAGCAGTAGCAGTAGGAATAGCAGACATGGTCTTCGGTATAACATTATTTTTGATTATTGAATTATCTTTGACTTCTGCATAATTGGTATATACGAGTGTAAATATCTTCCCAGTCATCGATAAATAAAGTATATATATATACCCTGAAAATATTTTGCTTACCATCATACTTATCATCTACTTTTCACGCGTTAACGACGGCGATGTGTCAGACGGCATCTGTTTCAATAGTTCCAAATCACGTTCAGTAAACCGTTTGAGATTGTTTTGATAATGATGCGGGTTAAACACAAAACTAGACAGACAAAAAATCGAAATGTAAGAAAGAACGGATACCCTGATAACGGATTGTGAACTTCCGCGTAACATACCTCTGTTCCATCATCCTTGCGAAGCCGCATAACAGCAACTGCTCTTCCGAATCCCATCCCTTTGAACGTGAGTATTGTCATGAAATTCACAATGAATATTCTCATTACAACCGCTTAGTCATAAGTTTTCTATATATAAAAGATATAACGAGATAC